TCTCTCTCTCTCTCTCTCTCTCTCTCTCTCTCTCTCTCTCTCTCTCTCTCTCTCTCTCTCTTCCACCCCGCTTTTCCGTTCCTCGCTTTTCATTGTTTTTTCAAAGAGTCGAAGAAAAAGGTCTCTCTTATTCCTCGTTGAATAATTCAATTTCTTTTCGTTTTTTTTTTTTTCTTTTTTTCTTTTAACTCGAATAACAGAAAATAAGAGAAATTGGAATAGTGTTTCCCTTCCCCCTATCCGAGGAATGATCGATGCATGAATGAATGTGCATGTATGGAAATGCACAGGACTGTGGAAGTCGTCACCGTTCCAGGAAAAACCCTTTCGAATATTTACATATTCGTAGATTGCTTCGCTTAAATCTGAGCACGATACAAAAGCACGATAGGATATAATGGTTCTCTTACATATGTAAATCGAAATCAAATTACCTTGCCGGAGGAGGAAGGGAGAGAGAGAGACACACTCGAATATGGTGAATGGAAGGTTGAATGGCGGAACAAAGACGCGCACACAGATTACGATGGTACGAGATAAAGGAATAAAAAATCGATGGAATCGAAACGTATTTCAGGAAAGGAACACTTCTTCGCTCGATTCGCTCTGTCCGATTTCCCATTTCGACTCGCTCGCTTTCCCTTTCGTACGCGGAACAATCATATAAATATCGGCACACCTCCTCATTCTTACAGAGATCATCCACTATTCCCCGATAACGCGATATATTCGAGAGGAAAGGAGTAGAAATATCAAAGCCTCTGCTGCTTCCCGTTCTCCAATTCCCCTCCCCTCTCTCTCTCTCTCTCTCCCTCTCCTCCAAACGAACTATCCAAGCCCCTCCTCTATTTCTCCATTCTTTCCTCGACTGCATTTGTTCCTTATTAGATATTCCGTTTTATTGAACGAGAAGCCTAGAAGAAGCCTTCCTTCCTGACGCCCTTTCTTGCATCCTTTGCCCTGGCTACACACGAGGATATATCCCTACTACACCCCGTCCTCTTTGCTCTCCACTCCTCCTCTCCCCCTCCTTTCTCCTACCCTTCGATCCACCGAACGCGCCTCCCGTCCGCGACATCATTTTATTCCGCGTCTCGAATTTCAAACGTTATTATTCACCCTTCCGCGAGCCCCCTCCGCGAATCTTAGATCTTTCTCGTCGAGCATTTCCGGTTAGGTGCGCGCCCGGAACCCATCCGTCCCTCTTTCTCTTCCGTTCGAAATGTTCGTTGGAAATGTTTCGCCTGTACGCCTCCTGTCGATTCCATTTCGTCTCTTGCTCCTTCCGTTTCGTCGTCGTCTTCTTCTTCTTCTTCTTCTTCTTCTTCTTGTTCTTCTTGTTCGCGCATATCGGGGCCATATCGCGCGCGGGGAGGCAAAATTTCTTTGTACGTTCAATCGGAGGAGGAGAGGGGGGGGGAATCAGAAGTGTATCTTGATGAGGAGACAAAGCCGGGTCGTTCGCCTGAGCGTGTGCTTCAGTCGTTCTGCGAAAATTTGGAGATTAATTATGGATGGAGAATTTGACGTCGATGCTTTTCAAACGTGACGATGAAAAAATAAAGATATTTTCGAGATGGATTTCTTACGAAAGAAATATTTAATATTTCATGTATTAGACGAGAAGGAGATATTGAAGAGAGAAATCAAAAGTATTTCTCGAAAAAGTAAAAAAGAAATAGCACGTGGTTTCGTTATATTATTGGACGAACGAGAGAGCAAAATCTGCGAGTATAATATAACGTCGATCACAAAGGTGTAGAAATTAAAGCGTAATATCGTAGCATTGGAAAATATAGGACGTAGTTACTTTTTTCTACTTGGGGCAAAAAGGTAAAAAGAAAAAAAGAAAAGAAGGAAAAGAAAAGAAAAAAAAAGGAGAAGAAAAAAACCGACATCCTTCCTGTAATTCGAAACGATAGAACACTTTTAAAACGTAGTTACCAGCAACAATCTCCGATAAAATGTTTCTAAAGCTTTCTCTCTCTCTCTCTCTCTCTCTCGTTTTCTCTCTCGTTACTTAAGCTGTATAACGATATTGAGTGTCGCTGGCATGTTCTATGCTCTTTCTCACGTAATAAAACAATTTCATTCACGTTCAAATGAAATACCACAAACCGGGAGGAGAAAGGATCGATATCGGTATGATATTTTATACCGTGAAAGCTTTCGAGGATAGCATATGTATATATATATATATATACACATATAATATAGTTGTTTCTAAATCGTGTCAATATTTTCGAATAATTTTTACCTACAGCTAAACGACACGCGTGTCACGTGAATGAAATGCACTTGTCGAATCGTGAACTGACGTTCGAATAAAACGTCATTTATACGTACCGAGATATTTCCATAGATATCAAGACTATTTCAAACAATGCTATACAAATTCAACCCTTTCTCTAGCTATTTCCTCTGTCAAAACGGACGACTCAAAAAATCGTATGCGAGTAATCGACATCGTAATTTCATCCTTCCTAAAATATTTTTTTTCTCCCGGCTTTGACGGCCGAAAAGGAAACACTGCGATATCTGATCAACACGAAATTGGTCGTACGTACCCTTTTTCCTCCTCCTTGATCCAGGCAATCATCGTTCTCGAGCCATCATCCAGGAATGACCCCACCGAGAAAGCCTTTCTCGTGTACTCACCGCGGCATTTTGTCCATTTTTCCTTGATTTCTTCCCTTGCCTTTTCACCTTCGATACGAGGATTCCCTCTCCGCTCAGTCGTCAATCTTCCCTTTCGTATATCTCCCTCTCATTCTCCTCCCCCTCCGTCCCACCGGCTCTATTCCTTCCTTCCGCCCTCCCCGACCCTCGTTTCTCTTCCTCCGGTTTCCCTCTCACCTGAACGACCGATTATGTCAGTCGAAGTTAAAGCCAGCGTTTGTTTATCTGATCCCACGTTATAAGTACAGACAGACAGGCTACCGGTGGCTCCTTGGGGCGGCTACCTCTTGCGTATTCGAGGGACGAAGATGGAGAAAGCGAGATAAGAAGCGGAGCACGAGGAGTGGCGGAGGAGAGAGGAGAAAGAGAGAAAGAAAGGGAACGTGGAAGCGTGCTCCGTTCTGTCGCTCGAGGCGAGGACGAAGGAGATTCTCCGTTCGGAAAACAGTTTAGTTACGATGAATGGACCGAATGAATCACGCGAACCAATTAAGGATTACAGTAGACGATGCTCCGCCACCGGTATCAAGAGATAGAGCGAGCTCAGAAGAACCGAGTCCCTGCTTCTTCACGCTTGCTTAACCCTATCCGCTTTCGCGCTTAATTGGAACTCGCTAAATATATACTTTCCCGATCCGATGTTCCGTAGATTTTGTTCGACTCGTTGTAAGACGTAGCCTGAATCGCGAGAGTCGACTCGACTTCGCCTGTGTCCATTGACCGTGTCACGTCCAAGAAAGGGGGAATGGGAACGTACGTTGGCTTCCATTTAGCACTTCTTCTTCGTGAGCGAAAAAAAGAAACGAGTTTTATTTTCGTTGATCGAAAGATGTAATTTCGACGCGAAGTTTTTATCAAGATGATAGTTATAAAATGATAGTAAATAGATTTGAGAAGAATCGATAGTTTTGTTGTCAGATTGTATAATCAAATTTTAAATAATTTTGAATTTATGATACGAGTCCATAATTTATTATACAGATGCATAACAAATTTTAAACTAGGTGGTGTCGTTACGAATTCTGCTTATGCGTCTAGAATCAATTTAGTTTATCCGTTAATCTGACAATTTATCTTCAACGGGGAGCATTCGTCTATGTTTTACCTCTGTTTTATCTTTAACGAGATCGTATGCCAGACATATTGTGACTTTAACACGGTAAAGTATCAGACGTCTAAGCTTATAATAACGTAATTTCAATAACAGTTTCAATTTTGAATAAATTGAATAAATTTTATTCAAAATTGAGTTTGGACAAATAATAGAACCACAATGATATTTATAAATAAATATAAATACACTCACTCTATCAGATTATTAATTTTTCACATATTTTTTTATTCACACTTTCTATAAATCACTTCAAATAATTCACGAATCGATACCATCGATCATTTAAAAAGATTTTCAAAAGAAAAAGAAAAGAAAAAGACACACGTTTATTCTATAATGTAAACTCTACGCGTTCGATTATATAATAATCTTCGTCTAATCAAATTAAATTTTAAATATACCATTTTTCCCGCCGCTTCAAAATAACTAGGCACAAGCTCCAATGAGAACGGACCTAATTTACCTATAGGCGGCCAAGTCCTCGCGTTATATCCTCGAACTGGTCGAGGGAAGAGGGTATTTGACGCGAGAAGCCGACACCTCTTCTTCTTCCCTGGTCTTTTCCAACCATGGCACCGTAGCAAGCACTATACGAGGGCGCGGAGTGCCGATTTAGGGGATGAAACACGGAAGTAAGTAGATTCACGTGTATGGGTCACGTATAGGTGAACTGTATATAGGCATCCCTGTATACGTACACGGACAGGGACGGAAAACAGGATAGGGCAACGAAGGGTGGGTAAGTAGGGACGAAGGGGTAACAATGCCGACAAGGACTACGAACAGGACGAAAACGTCGACGACGACGACGATGACGACGACGGTGGCGGCGGCGGCGGCGACGATGTCAGCGACGGCGTTGACGACGGCGCAATGTCGCCATGATGTCTCACGCATGCGCCACACAGAAGTAATAGCCGCGGACTCGGGTCGAACCGGGAAGCCAGTCAGTGCATTGCCAGCTCTTGAATCGCGAACGTTCGACTCACACGTTTCTGGATAATCGCGAATTTATCCCTTAACTGTTGGTTGTCGTTACACAGTGCCCCGTTTTATTTCGCAACGTACGCGAATATATATACGCGAAGGGACTCGAACGTTTCGACTCCACCTCGCGGCAACTCACGAACTAACAGTTTAACGGTTTTTTGCGACGTTTAAACCTATTCGCTCGCTCCGTGATATTTATCGTCGTACCGGTCGTCGAAATTAACGGCTGAGTGAAAAAACGGTAGTGTCGGACATTGGCGTGTACATGTGTTGTGCCTTCGAACGACAGGATACACGGATACCGGCTGTCTTTGGATATAGTTCGGTACTGCTGTCGTCCTCCCGGTCCCGTATCACGGATTCGTGCTACTGCATTGCACAATCGACCGATAAATCGACAGACGTGCTTTCTATCTACGATTACTATCGGTGCTTACGAAGATGATGATCATGATGATCATGATGATGGTGATTTAAGAGTGTCGTGCAGTGGTATTGTGCAATGACCGAGAGGCAAACGGCGCACCGGTGTACGTTATAGGATCTTAAATGTACCAATTAGGTGAGTGTTATATTTATTTTGAAGATTTTTTGTATGGGAATTTCGTCATCTATGCGATGACTAATGTATACATTATTTATTGCGTTGTTATATTCATTGGAGCGTATGTTTTCTATTCACGGTCAATCGCGCGCTCTTTCGGTGTTTCTTGTCTCCCCACCACGCCCAGAGTTCAATTGCTCGTCCGTTGTCCCGAAAGTTCGTGTTCCAAAAGTTAACAAGCGTTCCGTTTTTAAATCGTATGGCGTCCTCCATTTCTTTTTCTCGCGTTTCGACAATTAATAGACGACAATTATTGGTAGATTAAGAACGCGTTTTAATACGATTATTTATAAGATTCGTTTGAAAGGATTCAATTACTGTACAATATCTCTTACGTATATGCGAAGATTGTAAATTTCCGGATTATTTAAGAGTAGATTTAGCATATACATCTTGGAACAATTTAACGATTATCTGTTTAAGCAATATAGTTAGATTATAATGCGTTAAAGATTATAACGAATGAAGCACTTATGATATTATTTGATTAATTTCAAATTCACAATCACAAAAGAATACGTTATTTCGTAGTAGAAACATTTGTTATGATCTATATTGTATTAATTATTTAAAATTATTTAAATTGGTTTACGTGTCGAAAGGTGTATAAAAATATTTTCGATTATACAAAACGATATCTTAATATATCATATTATTTTTTTTCGTATTAAGTGGAATACATTTACATGTGTTAAATGAATTAATATTGGGATCAACGAACTCGTATGTAAAAAAACAGATTTTATTCGCGTATTGTTAATACGTGAAAATTCAACATCAATTTTCATTTGTCAATTTTTATTAGTTTTCATCGAATATCCATCGAAAGTGAATAGCAAAAATTATTTTTGTCATCCGTTATTTGATTTATTATTTTTAACTGTCGGGGCATTTAGTTATTTATATTTTCCAAATATACAGAATTACACTTTTCAAAATCTCTGATTACCATAAAATATATTAATTACGAGAATTTTATCCGTATTAAAATATATATTCTTCCAATATTACCTAATTATTTGAACTCGATACATTTTCTGTTATCATCAATACGGAAAATATCGAATATTATTTTATCAAAATTACAATTTTAGAAGTTTTACTATTAATCTACGTCTTATTTGAAATCGATTGCGCACATCTTTTTGAAAATAAAAATTTTTTATCCTCGTTCGTTTGCGGATAATGTAAATTCGTTTAGAAGCAAGTTTGGCGACTCTCGACATTCTTGACATTCGCGTTAGAAGAAACGTCGACCTGGTGAACGAACAAGTTCGTAGAAGCTTCTTACCTCGGCTGTTCCGTCACGTGAGAAGCTCACGCGACGACGTGATAACGTTAAAAAAACCAAGGGAAAAAGATTGATTAGAGTGTTCCTCGGCAGGATAACGAAAACGTGCTCGTTTAATCCTCGCCTGTGGCGCACGACTCGGGACGAACATATTATCAAAATTTATGTACCACCTTATGAATCTCATATCTTATCAAATTTAGAAAATTTTATTTTGCTTCTCTTAAATTCAAATGAGAAAAAAATTCTACTCGATTCGAATTTAAATTATTTAATAATAAAATTTTCAAACAAATTACGTATCACTGATATTTCCACCGATACGTAGAATATTTTTTCGATAAAATTTTTTAATTCCAACAGTTTCTAAGTTTTGACTTTATTTTTCGCAAGAAAATTTTTAATCATTCTATGCCTTAGTGGAAATATAGTCGAAGAAATGAGTTGTCGCGACAACTTTACGAAAGTAAAGTTATTAATCTGGACAAAGATCTACGATTAATAAGTTTCTGAATCGAGCTTAAAACGTATACTTCGATCCGCCCTTGAAAATTTCCAAAAGTTTGAAATTTCCACGTGTTTGAATAACTTGGTTATTACATTTTCATAAAATACAATTACATAATTCGAATGGTTACGTAATAGGTATAAACGATAAAATATCATTAAATATAATTATCAAAATGGAATTTCTCTCGATATAATAACGAATTATACTATTATTTTCTATAAAACGGTCATCATCGTATTTTAGTTCGATACCATGGATTGGAGTATTGTTGCCTTTACCACGATATGGGAGAGAAACAAGAGCGTTTTTTTTTTTTTTTTTTTGTTTTTTTCAACATGACTAACATTGAACAGTTATTGAAAAATTTGCTCTGTATCGTTGTAAAGGTAACGTTGAATCACGAATTTCGCAAACTTTCGGCTCGGATAGACACTAGGCTTTCCTCCATTCGATCGAGATTAATTAAAGAGTCATATCAAACGAATTTATTTTTAAAATATCAGCTCGAAGATAAATATTGGATATAGATATACCAGAATTCGATCTTACTTCGGAAAAAGAAAAAAAAAAAAAAGTATCTCCCGATATAAAAATCGCTTGCTCGCTTGTTTTGTTAATTTCGAATACGGATTCATCTATATAGAATTCTACATACGAATAAAATAAATCGAGAAGTCTATCTATTTAAATTGCGTTATATCGAGCTTTTTACCGATAACGAACGCAGATAACGGAGGTGTGTAATTTAACGATTCGAATCGTGCGAGCTGATTAACGATCTCGTAAATTAGGGGGAGGGGGGGAAGGGAGAAAGTATAATTAAACAAAGCAAAATTGCTCGTGTATCGCGTTGCCATTGTGACACGCGTGGCGTATAAATCATTTTTAAACAGGAAAGTAGTTGTACCCATTGATTGCATCAGTCTCTTTCGTTACTTTCACTCTCTATCCTAGGCAACTGTGCCAGCCCGATCAAATATGCATTAACCTCCTCACACCGTCCCTTATTTTTTATTTACATTACACGTAGATCTCGTTTAATATGAATAATAAGTTATTGCGAGTGTAATCGCATTAAACTACGTGTAATTCCAATTTCCAATGGAAATACACGAACGTGCATTTTTATCAACTTACTCAAGTTAAAACAACAACAATAATTTCACATCGATCAACACGTGTATTAATGAAATTTTTCAAATTATTTTTTTATCAATAATCTCCTTCAAATTTTGGATACTCGTTACACGTTTCATTCTTTCACGATCCATCGCGCTATCGTAACAATTTAATCTCGTAGATCGATGAAGAGGTGATGAATGCATTTTCCTCGGCAAAAATGGGAAAGGAACAAAAATAATAATAATCGTTCTCGGCCGTTCGTGAAATTAATTAATTAATTTTTGAAGGGACGTTGCATTAGAGGAGGCGACCTATCGGTGGCATTTAAATGGAAACAAACGCGTGGCGTTTTCGCTGTTCGAAACGACAGCACGTTCGTAGCGTGCGGATAGCGTGTCACACGTGCCGTTGGCAGCTACGAAAATAGTTGCGCGAAAAATAATGATCCGCATCTCGCCACACTGTACCGTTGGCGAGATAGAAAGGCGAAATTGAGCAGGATATAGTACGTATAATAGCAGGGCGTGTGTTAGCCTCCAGGCACGCCATTGGACCCCTCCTTCCCCCCCTCCCTGTCACGTAGAAAACTACATACACGTGGGACGAAAATTATAAATATATAATTCGAGTTCGAAAGTTTCGATAAGCTTCTTAAAAGAATTTTCTCCCTTTTCGTTCGAAGAAAATAAATCGATATCGTGGATTCTCTCTCCTCGTTGAAATTTTTCTTCGATCCGTGTACATATTCACATACATTCGATATATACATACAATCGGAATTATAGATTCATTATCGATGAATTACGTTTTCTTTTCGAAAAATGTATCGAAATAGGTCACGTTCTTATTACAAAATTACATTATCCTTCGATAAATAAAATTGATAATTAAAAGTTATTTATTGAGTTACGTTTCAGTTACGTGTTCCTTAACGGAAAATTGGAACGAGATAAAGTATATTCAACTGTTGCACGGGTTGAACGACCTATCACGAAATCAATTACTTATCGTATTCGAACAATCACCTCTCTATCAAGTTGTGTGTACACGGGACATTACATTAGAAACCGCGCGCATTGCAACAACACTCCATTAAGCATTCACGATCGATGTTTCTTCCCTCGTCTGAGATCCATCCTCGGATCTCCCAACTCCACAATTCCTTCGAATGTAGCAACAAGCCGATCCGCAACGTATATTACTCCGTATTGACGGGGCCGTTTCGCGTTCGAAATAAATGACGAGGAAGCGCGGGGGAGGAGGCGAAAGGTCGAGGAGATCGCCGTGCTTCCTCGAGCAAAAGGCGAGTGGCAGCAGCCACCGATGATGACTCACCGCGACAGTATTCGATAGTAGCCTTAAGACGATCGAGAGCTATTGGGTCTCGGAAGCCAGGGGGGTGGGAGGGGGCTGGGTCCAAGTTGCGACCAACGACAAATGGCCGCGATTAGCTTCTCGGTAGCTTGCGTGGCAATCAATTGCTCTTGATAGAATGGATGGATCGTGGTGAATACGAGAACGAAGCGCTCCTTTGGTCTGACCGCCTATTAAAAATACTTAACCAACCGGCCGGTCGTCGACCTACCGGCCATCGCCGATACCATCGACATGCAAACGCTGCGCGCCTGCATATTTATGCATATTCTTCGATTCTCCAACACCCTCCCCTCCCAGACTTTTACCCACGGTCCTCCCGTCCCGGTTATCAACCCTCCTCCCTCTTTCCAACCCTCGGAAGGCTGGAGAGGGAGAGAGAGAGAGATAGCCTCTATTAGAGCAGATTCGGTAACAACGCTTTCGCGCTCGCGCGATTAACGCTCGCACGTTGTTCGAACGTACAAACAACGGGCATGAAACGGTTAATTGAAGCCAATTACATCGTTCTCGAACGTGTCATTAACTTATAGCCCTCTCCCTCCCTCGTTTCTCTTCCTGGTCGAATTGCATGTTTGGAGAATATCGCGTTAGGGAGCATTAAGTGGCTTAACCCTCGTTTTTTTATTATTATACCCCGTTAATTAATCGAGAGATTTC